AGGGGAGATGTAGGTAGAGTTGCTGAGTTAATAGGAATAAGGAGCGATTCTCTGACAGAAGTCTGGGATAACAAGTATGACCTTTCATAGGCAGCTGAAATGAGACTGGATAACAAGGTGCAAAAGGAGCAGTGCCTGAAAAACACACCTGGAGAGAGAGAGACTGGAGCCAGATGTTATTTATGGATGCTTAGTAAACTTGAAAATTTTAGTTATTTCCTTAGGATTTAAGCAGATGAATGTACAAATGACAAGTACCATGGCTTTTCCAATTTACCTAATTATGTTGGAATATCCATACATGTAATATGTGTATGTTGATAACTTTTAATTTATAGACATTTTTTTTATTTTCTTAATCCTCACCCAAGGATACTCTGGCTATTGACTTTTAGAGAGAGTGGCAGGGAAGGGGGTGGGGGGGGAGAGAGAGACAGACAGACACACAGACATGGATGTGAGAGAGACACATCGATTGATTGCCTCCTGTTCACACTCCTGCAGCTGGGGAACCTGCACCAACGTACATGCTATTGACAGGGAATTGAACCCATGACTCTTCGGTCTGTGGGCGAATGCTCCAAAAACTGAGCATTACCAGCCAGGGCAATAGATACTTTTTTAAAAAATGTGATAGTATTTATTTTAAGTTAGCTTTTATTTTTGTCAAGTTTATAGATGTTATCTAGTTGAGTCATCTAATGGAAAGGCTTCTTTTGAAAATCAGAATCCCTGAATTATCTCCCTCCTCAAGATAACCACTGTCACATTTTTAATAACATGCTGTTATTGCTACTTCTTGATTTTTAGTTTTAGGAATTATCTGTTGAATTCCTACTGGCAAGATGAGGAATTAGCTCTCTGTCCACACCTAGCTCTGCTATACCCTTCATTTAGATCTGGTTAGGTCAGTATTTAGTATTTATAATATTACTAGTAGCCCAGTGCACGAAATTCGTGCACATCAAAAGGGAATTAATTGCCCTAACCGGTTTGGCTCAGTGGATAGAGCATTGGCCTGCGGACTCAAGGGTCCCAGGTTTGATTCCAGTCAAGGGCATGTACCTGGGTTGCGGGCACATCCCCAGTGGGGAGTGTGCAGAAGGCAGCTGATCGATGTTTCTCTCTCATCGATGTTTCTAACTCTCTATCCTTCTCCCTTCCTCTCTGTAACAAATCAATAAAATATATATTTTTAAAAAAAGGGAATTAATTAGCAGAGATATTTTAATATTGCTATTTGCCCTTTAAAAAGGGAATTAATTAGCAGAGATATTTTAATATTGCTATTTGCCCTTTCTCTGTAATAGAAGTGTGAGAGATGAAAGGAAATTAGTAAAATGTATATGAAAATAATATATAAATTTATTAATAAACAGTAACAAAAGGATATAACAACAACAGAGGCATGATATAAAAATGACAAAAATATGATATGAAAACAACAAAAACATAATATGAAAACAACAGTGATGCAAACAATGACTGATAAAGTGATTAAACTTATTCTAATATCTCCCTGTACACCACATTAAGAGTGAAAACACTTTCAGAGTGCTTGACTAATTTCCCTTGTGATGAAGTATTTAGAACTTAAACTGTAACGTCACATGCTCTTCAAACTCGAGAGAAAGCAACATATAACTGACCATGTGTGAAAACGGGTTCAGGTAGGAATATGCCTACTTTGTCTAGAGTTTGTCCTTGTGATTTATTAATAGTCATCACAAATGCTGGCATCACAAGAAACTGTCGTCGAATCAATTTAAATGGGAGGCCAGTGTCAGATGGGGACAAATTAATTCTTGGAATCAGAACAACCTCTCCCTCTGCAGATCCTGTTAATACTTCAGCTTTGATAATGTTAGGTTGTAATCATTTGATAATAAATCTGGTACCATTACAAAGACCCCATTTACTATTGAGATTTCTCAATAGCGTGATGATTGTACCCACTTTCAATTTTAATTTATGACACGGCATTCCCGAAGGAGTAATACTATTAAGAAATTCGATGGGAAAATTTTCCTTTTCAGCATCATCTGTGGAATCAATGGAATCATCACTCAAATATGTGTGAAAATCTTCATCAAGTATATCCAAATTTTCTTCATTTAATTTTTGAACATGCTCATTTTTTGGACAAAGAATTGCACGTTGAGATATATTTTAAATATCTCAAGCAGTGGTTCTCAACCTTGGCTGCACATTAGAATCACCTGGGAATATTTTTTAAATCCTGATTCCTGGGCCTCATCCTCCAGAAATTGTTTCTTTGTTATGGGGTGGGGCCACAACATTAGTAACAAAGAAACAGAATTTCTGGAGGATGAAGCCCAGAAATCGGGATTTTAAAAAGATTCCCAGGTGATTCTAATGTGCAGCCAAGGTTGAGAACCACTGATCTATAGATTAGTATTTCCAAAGGTAGCTTCAATAATAGATCCATTACAAATCATTTTACTTCCATGTTCCGCTCCAAGGGAGGGTTCCTGCCTGAAACCTCTCCCTGAGGGCGGGTTCCTGCCTGAAACCTCGCCCTCCAGAAAACAGCTGGGGGAGGACACAGCCATTTCCAAGACAACCCCATAGGACTGACTTCCTTCCAGTTGGTCACGCTTCTGGCTGTGATGTTACACCCAGGGTTTTTATATAAGTAGATGATTAAATTATTGGCTGAGCCATGTAGTATACTGTGATTACTTTCCTTTTTTTTACACAACTTCCTGTTTTCTCTGGAATGAATAATTGTCTTTTTTTGTTTGTTGGCTTAGTTATATGTATTTATTTTTCTCAAACTCTTAGTTTTGTAAATTCAAACATTAGGTTAACATGGTAGTTTTTATGGTATTCCCATTTTATGTGTATTATATTTTTTAAATTACTAATACCCATTTTTATTAACTTTAATGTTCTTAATAGAGATAAGGAACAAAGTAACATTAATTTGATATTATAAAGAATTGTTTATATTAAGTAGCAGTTTAAAATCTGTAACTAATAATGGAATATTTGATAAAAACATATACTTGAAATATATTTGTATTTTAGTTGAAAAAAGTGATTATTTTTTATTTTTATTATGGAACCTCAGAAGATAAATGGAACTTCTTAGGATCATTATCATCAAAGGATACCTTAGAGAAGTGGTTCTCAACCTTCTGGCCCTTTAAATACAGTTCCTCATGTTGTGACCCAACCATAAAATTATTTTCGTTGCTACTTCATAACTGTAATGTTGCTACTGTTATGAATCATAATGTAAATATCTGATATGCAGGATGATATAGGCGACCCCTGTGAAAGGGTCGTTTGACCGCTAAAGGGGTCGCGACCCACAGGTTGAGAACTGCTGCCTTAGAGTATAGCAAGCATGTCAAACTCAAAGGCTAAAACGGGCCAAATACACAAGGTTTAAGTTTATGTGGGCTGCAAAACAACAAAAGCTTCAATTTTCATAGAAACACAGATTTATATCAATAGAGACATGCTGAATACAAAGGCTGAAATAAATGAATAATTGTTAACACAAAATAGAACAGTTTAATAAAAATTAATATTTTTTTCTTGAACATTAACTTACCAGACACTGAATAACTGCACAAATTAATAATGTAATGCAAATAAACCTATTTTTGTTCTCCAAAAGCGAAATATTTCCTGTTGCGCACACCAAACAAATCAGTACAAGACTAATGACGTGGCAATCGGCTACTAAAATATTTGCTGCTAGTATTAGTGGAGAGAAATGGTGCGACTGCGTGTAAGGCGTGTAAGGGAAATGAATGCAACACGATTATAGTAATCAGTCATTAGCAGAAGTTGTAGTTCGTTATTAATAACTAGAGGCCAGGTGCATGAATTTGTGCACTGATGGGGTCCCTCAGCCTGGCCGGTGATCAGGGCCAATTGGGGCATGGGAGGTTGGCCAGGGGAGGGGCCTTGGGAGGTTGGCCGGCTGGATGGCCAGGGGGAGGAGGCACGGGAGGTTGCCTGGCCTGGGGAGGGTGGGGAGGGCTTGCGGGAGGTTGGCCGCCCTTATCAGAGCCATCGGGCCAGCCGGCCAGGGGGTGGGGAGGTTGGCTGTGGGAGCGCACTGACCACCAGGGGCTAACTCTGCGTTGAGCGTCTGCCTCCTGGTGGTCAGTGCGCATCATAGCAACTGATCAACTGGTCATTCGGCCATTTGGTTGCTTAGGCTTTTATATATATAGACTAGAGGCCTCGTGCATGGATTCGTGCACCAGTGGGGTCCCTTGGCCTGGCCTGTGCCCTCTCGCAATCTGGGACCCCTTGGGGGATGTCAAACTGCTGGTGTCGGCCCGATCCCCACAGGCCAGGCCAAGGGACCCCACCGGTGCACGATCAGAGCCGGGTGGGGCCGCGGGAGGGCTCCAGGGCATGTCCAGTCCATCTCACCCAGTCCATATCAGCTGGACTCCAACAGCAAGCTAACCTATCGGTCGGAGTGTCTGCCCCCTGGTGATCAGTGGGTGTTATAGCGACTGGTCGAACGAATTGTTGAACACTTGGCATATTAGGCTTTCATTATATAGGGTTATATATATAACAGGATATTATAAAAATTAACTAACAAAATTTTTATTAAAACATTTCTTACATATCATTACATTGGCTGGGCCACGGATTTGACACGCTTGGTGTATGGCATTGCCTCCTAATGTTTGTGGGGATATGGCTATAATTTAGTGATCCAAAAGACCTGATAAACTTCATAAATGTTTGCCCTCTCCTACCAGATCAGCTCCTTATCAAATAGTCCACTATGTTTAGAAATGCTGTAAGCCATAATTCTATTTTATATAAAGTCTTTAAAAACTTTGAAGTGGCCAGTTTTAATTAGTTTTTCAAATTTACTTTACCAGGAGCCCTCTTAAATAACATATTTACGAATGGCCACAGAACTTTACTAAATAACACCATTTTTCTAACTGCAAATTCAGGATCCTTCTGATATCTTTTTCTCTCCTGTTTTATAGTGACAAAAATGCTGAGATTCTTCCGTAGAACGCTTGGGCGTCGGTCAATGCGCAAACATGCTGAGAAGGAACGACTCCGAGAAGCTCAACGAGCTGCCACACACATTCCTGCAGCTGGAGATTCTAAGTCCATCATCACGTGTCGGGTGTCCCTTCTGGATGGTACTGATGTTAGTGTGGACTTGCCGGTACGTAGGTCTCACTGACCTGCAGTTCTATATGAGATCACTTTCTTCATTTGAGCTTTCTACTTGATAACTTCCTGGGGGAATAGATAATAAGGGTTAGTGTGGATCAGGCACTGTAATGTACAGGTACATATACCAGGTAACCTTAGGAACCTGGCCTGATAGTATTTATCTGGAATTAGTGGCCGTTACTTAAACGTTTAAATGATAGGGCAGTTATTGGTGCGAGTTATTTATGTGTGTGTGTTCTTTACAATGGTAGTATATAGTGTACTCCAGTGGATTTCTCACAATGCTTGTTGAGCAATTATTAAAGCAATGAAAATCTTTGGGAACCAGAATGATACTTACATGCATATTGTAAGACTTTTATTTCTTTTATTTAAAGACTTTTATTTCTCTTCTGCAGTTTTTAAAACATTCTTTACCTTCCTCAAAACAAATACTTCTCCTGTGGTATGCTTGCAGAAATTGTAATGAAATGAAGTGAGAAAAAGGACTTGCTTTATATTCCTCAGTTCTGACTGCCTGTCTTTTTGCTCCTGAAGTCTTTTGCTGGGGAGGTTTTTCATACACTGTGATCCTTATTTCAAGACAGGGTATTGTAATTATATTCAAATTTCGGGTAGATTTTTTTTTTTTAATCCTCACCTGAGGAGATTTTTGCATTGATATATTTTTTTTTAGAGAGAGGGAAAGACAGAGAGAATCATCAATGTGAGAGAAACACATTGATTGGTTGACTTCTGCACAAGCCCTGACCAGGGGCCGAGCCAGGGAGGAACCTACAGCCGAGGTACGTGCCCTTGACTGGAATCAAACCCGGGACCCTTCAGTCCACAGGCCAATGCTCTATGCACTGAGCCAAACTGGGTAGGGCTGGGGAGATTTTCTTTACAGTTATGAATAATCCTAACTCACAGTGTGAAATAGTCCAAAATATTTGAAAGGGATTAACTTATTCCTTACAGGCGGTTTTTTACTAATGGCAAATCTCTTTCTTCACTTTATCCTGCATTGCAAGAATACACTGTAAAGTCTGTGATTTGATGAGAGAGAGCATCATTGGATGTTCCACAATGTCTCCCCTCCCTACAAACTCAGTACACATTCATTTACCCAAAATAAAAATTTTTAAGGTCTTTTTGTGAGAGGTAATAGCCTGGTTGCTGCAACAATATGTTAGTGGAATAACTCGGGAAGTCCACAAACTCAGAGTGAGAGATTGGATAGTTTGTTTAAATGAATATTGTGATTATTGAATTATTTAGAATGTACTAAGTATGTACATTATACATTTTTAAAATATTGGAATATAAAATTAAAGACACAGGATTTCTTAGTGTTTTAAAGTCATTATTATATATATTAACTTTTACATTATACTTGACATTTTTAGGGTTTTTGATTTTAGAAGACTTTAAGACATTTAAATTTTCTTTCTGTAAGGGCTTCTTGAAGGTTTGTCAGATATTGCAATATGTGATACTTTATGAGGGTAGTTTTCATATTTATTTCTTACTGATAAATATCTTAAGATTTTTGTGTACTATTCTGTTAAAATATCATTAGGTGTGTGGTGAAAAGCTTGAGATTGCTGTGTAAGAGACAGGAAATAAATTTCTTATTACCTAATGTTTGAAGTATGAAGTCTCATGGTTATTAATGGAGATGCTGGTACTAGGAAAGTAGAATTTGTAGGAGCTTTTAAAGAAGGCCGTGTATTGTGGAGAAGAAACAGCACTGGGTTTTAAAGCAGTGGAACAAATGGCTGGTGACTGGTATAGAATGGTTTCCTGTGCTTGGTATGCTCAGGGGGGTGTATGTGATGCTTGGCCAAGGCCAGAAATGCAAGCTGGCTCTCATGCAGGCAATTGCAGTGAAAAAGCCAAGTGTTTTAGATTTGACTCTTTGTGGAACTAGAACAATTACCTTTTCAGCTCTGCAGGTGAAATCCTAGAGTTAGTAAACTAACTCTAGATGCTTGCATGGATATAAAATGAGCATTGTTCTGCCAGCTAAACTGCTTCACTAAAAGGAAAAATAGGCCAGAGGAATATTAATTTCTGAGAAGAAAGATCTTCCCTTTTTCTGATTTAGCTTCTCAACCAGTCTAGTATGATTCTGAAAAAAGGTTTAGAATTGATTTTGGAAATTGAAGGAAGCACATATTTATTCCCATTAGGATTAGGGTCACTAGTGATTGTTGCAAGCCAGAATGGAATTAAGATGATTGAGCAGGCAATATGTAAGGGATTATTTGTGATTAAAGTAGGGTAATTTAAGTCTATGGACTTCAAATTAGTATGTAGAAGTATTAATGGTCAATTTCTTCTTTCTGTTCTCCTATTGTCTCAAAACTGGGGTTGGAGGCTTACATACCTTCTGCTTCCTTCTTCTTTTTAAAGAACTAATACAGTTTTAATGCCTTTCAGTGAATGAGAGAAACATCAGATAGAAATTTCTATCTGATTTTAAAATTTTCTCTTTGGAAATGCCACAGTAACTCCTTTGATTTATGAGTTTAGTACTGCTTAGTAAATAGCCTGTCTTTTAAAACTCTCCCCTAAATTTTAAGTTAATAGGATATATTTGATTAACTGATAGATAATAATTTTATATACCTACTTTGCTGATATAGATGCTCAAGTCTTTAAATTATATAGACCATGTATTATTATTATACCTTAAATAAGTGAGAAAACATCTTATGTGCACAAATTGAAATACTTAACATTGTTAAGATGGCAATATACCCCAAACTGATCTATAGATTCAACATAATTCCTACCAGAATACCAGCTGACTTATTGGTAGAAATTGACAAGTTGATTTTAAAATTCATATGCATTTGCAAGGGACCCAGAGTAGCCAAAACAATGTTAAAAAAGAACAAAGTAGAAGGACTCATATTTTCCAGTTTTAAGACTTACTGTAAAGCAATGGTAATCAAGGTGGTGTCCTCCTGGTACAAGGATAGACACACATAGATCAGTGGAACAGAATAGAGAACCCAGAAATAAATCCATAAAACTGATTATTTGCTACTTGACAGGGTTGCCAGAACCATTCAGTGGCAGCAAGGATATTTTTTTCCACAAGTGGTGCTGGGAGAACTAGATAGCCAGATGTAAAAGAATGAAATTAGGACCATACTTCACACCATATATAAAAATTAACTTAAAATGGGTCAAAGACTTAAACAACTAAGACTATAAAATAAAACTCTTAGGAGAAAATATAGTGATAAAACTTCATGTCCTTAGATTTGACAACAGTTTCTTAGATATGTCATCAAAAACGTGAACAACAAAAGGAAAAATAAATTGGACGTTATCAAAGTTAAAAGTTTTTGCACCTCAGCGGACACCATTAAGAAAGTAAAAACACTCACAAAATGGGAGAAAGTGTTTGCATAATTTTATATCTTAAAAGCACTTGTATTCAGTATATATCAAGAATTGTTATAACAACAATAAAAAGATAAATTATCCAGTTTAAAAATGGGTAAAGGATCTGAATGGCCATTTCTCCAAATAGAATATATAAATGATCAATAAGCACATGAAAAGATGCTTGACATCATTAATCATCAGAGAAATTAAAACCACAGTGACATACTACTTCACACCAGTTAGGAAGGCTAAAATAAAAAGTCAGATAATAGCAAGTCTTGGTGAGGATGTGGAGAAATCTGAAAATTGCTTCCATTTTTTGGCAGAAATGTAAGGTGGTGTGGCTGATTTGGAAAACAGTGGCAGTCCTCAAGTGTTTTGAGAGATATTCTTTGAAATGTCAGATTTGTTAGATTAAGCATTATTATTACTAGAGGCCCGGTGCATGAAATTCATGCAAGGGGTTTCCCTCAGCCCAGCCTGCACCCTCTCCAATCCTGGACATCCCTCTCATAATCCTGGACCACTGGCTACTAATCGCTCACCTGCCTGCCTGCCTGGTTGCCCCTGACTGCCTCTGCGTGCCAGCCTGATTGCCCCCAACTGCCCCCCACTGCTGGCCAGGTCGCCCCCAACTGCCCACTCCCTGCCGGCCTGGTCACTCCTAACTGTCCCCCCTAGCGGCCTGATCACCCCTTACTGCCCGCCCTGCCAGCCTGGTCACTCCCAACTGCCTCCCCCCCGCTGGCCTAGTCGGTCCTCTCTGGCCCCGCTGGCGGGGTGGTGTAACAAAAGAAACCACCCATACCTTTTTCGAGTTAGAAA